CCAATGGGGTTCTGGTTAATGTTCCAACAAACTACTCGGATGGATCCCCCAGCTCCATAGCACTCCATGGCACGTGGTCAGGTGTAATCTCTCACTGCAAATCATTCGATTGGTCTGGGATATCTTCTTCATAATTCTTCAGTTCTGTTTGGTTTTTCTTTGGAAAATTGCATTATTCTCGGGGATTTTGGCCTCTCTAATAATAACAAACAGCAGAACAGCAGAGCAGCAGCCGAACGGCCTAAGCAGCAGCAAAAGGCAGCAAAAGGCAGCTGTGTGCTGGCCAACAGTTTTTCCCTCTTTTCCTCTGGACTAGAACGGCATTTTGGGTAACATATTTTATGGCAATTGATGGTCGAGGAAGAGACTTTTGCGGTGAATTTGTGTAAGGCACTTGCCACTGGCCGGTGGAATGGGAGGAAGATGGGGGGGGATGGGGAGGGGGAGGGGGAGGGCCGGTTATGTGTGGGAGGATTCGCTTGCGCAAACTTGAAATAAACAATAACATATTGCGCTTGATTTGTTTTATGATGTTTACACTTGGCGCAGTGCTTTGCTGTACCCTGTTTCTCACGGGGTATTATGATTCTCACCAGATGAGACCCAGGCAGCTGGAAGCTTTGACCTCATAAAGTATAGATACATCAAGTATATCCGTAGATATGAGTACACCAATAGTATGATCATACCCTAACATCTGGAGGTATCTAAGGGACACATTAGCTTCTATTAGGCGGCAGCACAAAATATATTGTATAGGACTGACTATCGGGTACATAAGGAGAGCCGCGGCCCTTGCCGCGTCTCACAACGATCCCGGTGGTTTCTTTGGGTATCCTCATATCCGAAATCTATCTAGAATAACCCTCTCTCTTTTTGTTATAATTTCTGTTTAGTTTTGAATGCTTTTTCTGTGAATTCGAGTATGAGAGCGTTCAGCTTTTGCTTAATTAATTTTCTGTGCTGGAGCCAGAGCCAAGGAAAATAAATAAAGTTGCACACGATGCTTTTAAGACTAACTGGAAATGGAAAATGGAAATTGGAAAATGCCAAATGACTAAAGCAAAAGCACCGAAACGAAGCGGAAAAATTCGAGTCGGGGGGAAATTTTCGGGGCATACTCGCACTCGAAAATGTATGCCAGTCATTGTGCGAATGATTGATATAAAAATACATGCACCGTGTGTCTGGCAGCTGCCATAAAAAACTTACCTGTGAATAAACATGTGTACACATCGGATATATATATCTCATATCCCTGGAATATATTGTGTATAGTACTCAACAGTCTAATGAGCCATTCAAATGGCGTAATATTCCAGGGGAAATTCGTTTCCAATCGATGATCTAATGAGCGGAGTGGAGAGTGAATAATGCAGCAGGAAAAATTAATCAATCATAATTGAATTCATAATTTATATTAACGCTTTGATGGCGAATGCATGGCGAGTATTGTACTTGAATTTATGAATCATGAATCAAGATTCAATCTTCTGTTTTGGTAATCAAGGAAATGAACGTACTTGTGGGTGTGGGTGGAAAAAAAGAGGAAATTTCATGACGCATTTGCTTTTTGCTTCTGATTGAATATTGACCATGCCAGGGACATTGAATAAGTGGATAAAGTTAATCCCTATCCGGTTGGAATTATATCGTAGCAAGGGCATTCCCTTGAATGATCATTCAACGACTTTCGCAGCGGGGGAAACCCATTCTTCTGGCCTAAATGATTCATTTGTGTCGCATTCCCATTCGGAGGCTCATTTATTTCGAGGAACCCTGACCTGAATCGATCTGGATAAGCGGCCACAAATGACAGGTTACACGAGAGCCCCGTCTGCAGAGGCTGCAGCAAAGCAGCAGACTCTTTGTCTTCCTTGAGAGTCAAAATGATTCAAGGCCTCCCGCCATTCGGGGTCGCATTCGAACCTCAGCTTTGAGTAAAAATCAGAGGCAGAGTGAATGGAGGGAAGAGCTCTCCCCCCCTCTGAAATGAACACTCTGACGCTGGCAAAAGCTGAATCATCAGGGATGGATCCCTATCCCTCCATTCCGATAATTAAATAGAAATGCAAATGCGGTGGGGGATTGGGGGGGGGAGGGGGCCAACTATCCGAAAATGGAGCTACTCGAATGGATTCTCTGTTGGCTCGTTATAATGAAAATTCATAATCTTCTGCTCGGTCAATGGACCACACGAAAAGAAAAACACACACTCACACACACACACACACACATACAGGCGAATCCCCACGCGAATGGGAAATGGAAAATGGAAAATGAGAAGATAACTGTAGAGTGGAGAAGAGTGGAGCATATGGAATGCGCCAGGGATACGAATTCGGAAGGGTTATGGCCATGGGATATCGGATATGGCAGGGTTATGGGTGGAGAAATGGATTCCAATGCCACGATGTGGGGATGCGTAATGAACTCGTTCGCAACGCTCTTCCCTCTCCACCGTTGGGGCTATGTGGTGCTTTTTTTCAGGCTTTTGCCGAGAGCTGCGAGACCCCGGCCTCCATTTCCCCCCCACACTTCGATGTCCACTGTTCACAGATAGCGCGCCACGCCGCACACACCACTCGCATTGTCATATTGTGATTGTGTTGCCCGACAGTCCACCGTATGGCACAGTGGTCAAAGGTCACACAAAAAATCGCTAGACTCCAGGTATATTTGTGTTTATCAAATGTGAAAATCATGATCTGCCTCGGACACAAAAGATAGGTTTGATTTTAAGAGATATTTTTCTGATATTATTTCCAGACTCATGGATATCCGTTAATGCCTAAGCCAATGCCTGTTCAAAAACAAATATAAATCAGACAGTTTATGTGAAATGTTTAATACTATTGAAGCTTCCTTCAATACATTGCTTTTGGTAGTCTAAACCAACCTAATTTCTTCTGAAATCTAGTCTAAAAATGTCTGGACACAGCTGTTTACCTTTGAATACTTTAAGCACTCATTTGGTTGCCTAGGAATAGATTTGATCTTTGCTGTAAAGACAGGATAATACCTCAGTAGTTCTACCAGAACAAGTTTATCCAGTAATTAAAATAAAATCTTCCGTTTTGAACACTCCCTTGAGTATTCCAACTGTTTGATTGGAACTCGATATTCAACCATAAAACGCAAGATCCTTAAAGCGGGCTTTCATGTATGGTTTTTATCCAAAGTTCCATGTTGTTTGTCCCACTGTGGCCACTCCATGGACTGCCCCCTGGGCAACAATGGACACACCATATTGTTGCTGTTGTTGCAAGTAATTATTGTCTGTTGCTGTTGTCATTGTTGTTGTTGTTGTTGTTGTTGTTGTTGTTGTTGTTGTTGTAGTTATCATCCGGATGTGTCACTGTGTGCATATAAATCGCATTTAATTTATTGTAAATCGGATTAAATTACCAAATGTTGCACGCACTCACGAAACCGTAGAGAGGGACAGAGCGAAACAGAGGTGGAGAGAAGTGAGTTAATATGTGGGTGCTGCCACAAGCTACACGCACACATACGAGAAATGTACACACACACATGGCTGATTCAATGCAATGGCCTATAACTACTCCTGAACATAGGCCCATGCCCCATGCCCCATGCCCCATGCGCCGTGCGCCATGCCCCAAGCACCATGCTGTGTCTGCACACAAGTTAAATCTTTAAATATGCAACAGCTTCTGGGCCAAACGAGGCAAGCGCAAAGACCCATTAAATGTGGCCAAAAGCGGCTTATTAACTAAACAAACGAGTAAAAAGGGAGAACGAGCATTTGTCTCTCCCTTTGTGCCTGTGGAGTGCTGGTCCGTGCTGTGCTGTGCTGTGCTCCTCTCAAATGGAAGGAATGACAAAGAAACAACTGCAAAGTCCTTCATAATAGTACGAGTACTCGCCAAACGACACATGACACACATAAGACCCCCAAAAAGCTACCGAGAAACAGAGCTGAAAATGTGAAATAAAAGATGAAGTTTACTCTTTTCGCTTTCCCTCGATGCCGAAAGGAGTCTGCTTTCCTTTGTGCCCTCAAAGTGGCCGCTGGAAGGAGTGGAGGGAGGGGGAATGAAACATATTTTTGTAGAAACAGAGAACTAAACTTCATTTGGCTGGGATCTGGGGCAGAGAAAAGTGGAAAGATGTGAACGGATTTCTATATTTTCTATACAGTTATACTACTTTTATGGGCTATATCGACTGGGCCTTTAATCAAGAATATCTATACTTTACGGGGTCGGAATCCACCACAAAAAAGATGTATCTCTAATCTCTTAGATACAATATAGTTATATCTATGACAAATATTCAGCGACAGATCCAGTAAAATCATACAATTTATTTGGAACTTAAACTGCAAAAGATTCCTATTGAAGCATTCCTATTGAGTGCATGAATCCTGGAGATAACCACGGACAGAGGTCCTACGGTCCCTTGACAGAGCCCTGTGGACTCTCTCTTATGTCTGTTCCAGTCCACAGGCTACAGGCTGTAGGCAGTTGAGCCAATGAGAAAGATGTCATGCTTGGCGAGCAATTTCACACATTCACACTTTGATTCGCAATTAACCGGTGGACTGTCCGCCGTACGGACACGGCCTTTTGCTGGACAAAGGGAATGCAAATATCCGGGATCCGTAATCCGCAGTCCGCAGTCCGCAATCCGTAATCGTATCTGTTAATGCACATTTCCGCGGCTCATAAACGAATGTGCCGAAGGGATGGGAGAACTTGAAAGAACTTTAAGTAAAACTCAAGTGGACCCCAGACCCAGGCATGGCTACCATTTGGCAATCGTATTGTTCAGATAGCAATCGCCGGGGCTTTGAAGTGCTGACCGGGTCCATTAAGCTCTCAACACGATCCCGAAAATCTGCCAACAACATCTGAATCTTGTTGTCCGTTTCCCTCTACCTCTACCTCGGCATCGACATCTGCATTTGCATCTTTATCTGCCACTGCCGCTGCCGCTGCCATTGATTGTTTTCTTTCGCTTTGTATCTCCTCCAGCCTGCGAGTGCCATCCGATCGGTTCGTCTGGTAAGATCTGCAACAGCACCAGCGGTCAATGTCCCTGCAAGGACGGAGTCACCGGACTGACCTGCAACCGATGTGCGCGTGGCTATCAACAGAGTCGCTCCCACATTGCCCCATGCATAAGTGAGTACAGAATATGTGCACCTATATGCTTTCTTTAATCGATGCCAAGTTGTGATCTTTAAACCTATTCCCATCACATCTACTACACTCTATTCCACAGAGCAACCTCCGCGCATGATCAACATGTTGGACACACAGAATACCGCACCGGAACCGGATGATGCCTCTCCAGACGTTGCCAATAATCGTGGCGGCGCCTCCGCGGCGGCGGCCGCCCAGTCCCCATACTACCGCACCGAGGGCGGCAGGGGTAAGTAAGTGCTCTCCTCTCATATCCATATCTATCTGTTGTTGTGTGCTAACACCCCCGCCAAACCACCCACCAAACCACCCACCCATCAAACACCTATGCCGTTCCCAACCGATCCAATCTAAGCATCCATCCGTGCGATCCTTCCTTCCTACAACTACTGAATGTACACGGGATGCCCTGCTTCCACTGTAGTTTTACAGTGGATACCCTGCTTGCTTCCACCAACTGTTAAACAACATTGGATATCGCTGTTGTTCTAACAGCGGCAGCCAGGGCTAACAGCCTGTTGCTGCTCTCCGTTAACAGCCTGTGGCTTAGCGGTCTCTCTCCCTCACGATCCACACGCCTCTCGAACGGACTCAGATATGATCATATATGGGAAACGCCACCAACGAGTATTCCTTCGTCTCTCTTTTCACTCATCGAATGGCCACTGTCCGCGTGGAAAGCTTCCTCTGGCGCTTTCCTCAACGCTTTTGTAATCCTCTCAAATGGGTGAGAAAACACAAATCCGCTAAAGTGCAGTCGGTTGTCGGTTTTCCGGCGCAAAACAAAGAGTACAACAACCAGGAGGAGTAGGACAGAGCGAGCGCTTGTGTTGAATGGAGAGACAACGGCACTTAACAGACAACGCAAATGTTTGCACGCAACTTTTAGTTACAGTTACCAGTAAAAAAAAAAAAAAAAAAAAAAAATAGAAGAAAAAAAAACACCCAGGAGAGTGTTGATGCGGATGGGGATGCAACAAGCAAACAAAATGCGCCACGCAGCATAAATCATACTCTAAGCTTCGTTCGCCTCTCGCTCTCTAGAGCTCTCACTCCCACTCCCACTCGCACTCGTACTCGCACACCCATTCCCACTCTCCGAGGTGGCGCGTGCTCAAGTAAAAGCTAAACAAACTTTTCACTAAAGCGCCAAAAAAACAGCACCAGCAGCAACATCAGGAGAGAGAGCGAAGAGAGCACCCCAAAGAAGAGTGAAAGGCTTGCCAACGAGGGACCGAGGCTTTTGATACCCTTGCAGATCCCAAGAATACACAATTCCATATCCGATTTGATTAAAAAAGAGCGTAGCTGTAGCTGTAGCTTTTGGCATTGGATCACTTCGGACCCATTATGGGGCTTATGAAATGTCCATCTTTGGAAAGTCTCCACTTCGGATAGCATAAATTTGCTGTGTCAAGCCCAAGCAACGTGTATTTTGTTTGCTGTCTTGGGAGCGACTTATAGAATCTTCGGATCGACGCAGGAGACCAAGGTATTGACGAAAAGAGGCTAAGGATATCCCACTCGAAATGGAATGTGTTCCCCGATGCTATATCTTGCTATTTTAAAGTCTTTGCTCTACAGCACCTAAGTTTTTTGCTTTGCAACAAATCATTATACCTCCTGCAAAGGGTATATATGTACCTACAAGGAAACAAGGAAAGAAAGAGCAGCGGCGAACAGTATAGATAGAATGACAGAGAGCAGGCGAAAACTTCGCAAAGCAAATGTATTAAAAAAGTTTTTTATTTAATTTTCCATGAATAAGCTGCAGCCAGAGCAGTGGCAGCATACTTTTTAGCTCCACTGTGACCGACCAGTGTTGCCAAGCGGCGCCGCTAATTGCCACCAACTATTTGCTCAGAGGGCGGGGATATCGGTGGGAAGAGCTCTGCAACACTGCAGGGGCTTTAAGTAGGAGATGGACTGGCCTCACTAAATACTTATATAGAGGGTGGGGAGGGGCATTGCTGGATTGAGGGAGTGGATTGGCTACAATGACAAATTGACTGAACGGTTAAGCAGCCGCAGAAAATGCAGCATTGACGATAATCACAATCGAGTCACACTGTCATCAAAGGACCCAAAGGGAGAGGAAGGATTTACAGAGCTTAAGCGATTGGCTGTTGAGTAAGCTTTGATCAGAGCAGATTTGAAGGGGTTCTGTGTAAAAATAAATGGCATTGTGGCATCCCATAAAATGGCACCCAAAATAGTTATGCTTGAGAAGAGCTGTTGCCAGAGTTTCACTTGAGATTCTATGGGAAATAATTCCATTTGAGATAAACAGATATGTACAATGCTTAAGCGATCAACAACTTTGCTTCCCTGGGCTCTTCGAAGTAGTTTCTCCATATTTCTTTCCATATATAGTGCATCCCATAGTGCAACACCCAAACACTATACCATCTAATGGCCTTAATTAAATGTCAACTGAAAATAGTTAGAGCTGGAGTTAGCCAAAAGCAACAGCCAGCCGAACTTGCAGTGGAACTTGCAGGAAACTTGCTGGGTGCCGAGTCCTTGCCCAACAGGGATCGATTCCAGTGGCTTCCCCAGGCTGCAATTGCCGCATATCAAGTGGCACCGAGAATGCTGAAGGACCAACTATCCATCGCTATCCATCATGCCGAAAATGCAAATCAAGTCGCAGTACACGGGGGCTACGGGTGGGGGTTCATGTTTAAAGAGGCCGACCCCCCTGTTAAATTTATTTGTCAAACGGCAAAGAAAAGCGCAAGTTGGAAAAGTTGTCGGTGGGGAAGTTTGGCTTTGGTTTGGTTCGTTTTCTTGTAACCAAGAACTCAGTTAGGCAAATGGACACAGAGTCAGACACAGGACACGCATAGACATGCATAGACGAGGCGAGGCGAGACGAGACGAGACGAGAGGCACGGCGCAAAAAGTTCGTCCTTCTCCCATTGAATGTGCCACACAGTGTGTGTGTGTGTGTGTGTGTGTGTGCTGTGAGCGATGCAGGGGTTGCGGCAACCAAAACCGAAGCCTCTCCCCCTCGGCCTGCCCCCGTCTCGCACCATTCGGCAGGCGAACATGAATGTTAATTATGAATTTATAATTTGATAATCTTATTAAATTAATTTCAGATTCTGTTCGAGTTTGAGTCAATTTAAAGTTAGTCGGAAGGAGGTGCCGTGCCCCGGGCCGTGGGGGGCCGTGGGGGGTCGTGGGTCACTTTTAATGTCATGTTAATTGGATGCTGAGCAAATTTATGGCTGATTTTCGGTTTGTGTGGGTGGGAAAGTCAATCAAAATGAGAGGCAAAAACTGATTGACAGACAGGGGAAGTCTATTTGAATAGTGCCGAATCTGTAAGTCCCATCTGATAAATATTTCATTGATATTTGGCTTTCATAAAATGCATTATCAGTAGCCTCCTGTCTGGGGCTTTTCGTTCTCGTATACATATGTATTTTCGTTTGGGGCGTGGGGCGTGGGGCGTGGCTAATGATCTTTAAATGACGGCGATAAATATCGTTTGGCCACTAAGTGCATAGACGGGGAAATTCCCCCTAAAGTCGGGCCAACAAAACGCCATAAATAGCCAAAGAAAAGCCCCATTTTCAATTGAATCTATCGATCGACTCCATCGATTCACCCTGCCTCAGCCTCATTTAATGCACATCTGTATGCCACGAAGTGGTTCGAGTTGCCTGCCTCCAATTGTGTCACGTTTGCTTTGACATTGCGATCGATCGATGGCAATGCAAATTGCAATTCGCAGCAAAAACAAAACCAAAAACATTCTGGCTAATTTTAGTCGCCACAAAAGTCGGCCCCGAGGCACGAAAGCAAAACAACAGAAAGCGGTGTGGCATGGGGCGGGCCCAGGGCGGACACGGGGCGGGCACGGGGCGGGCACGGGGCGGAACGGGGCAGGGCAGACTTAATGTAAAATTGATCGAGCAGTCTTTGGGGCTGATGTGTTCTGGTGTTTTCTGCTAATTGGCATTGGCCATAAAGACATAAATTTCGCAATTAAATTGTAAACACACAAGAGTGGAATGCCAATGCCCCTCCAACGGAAGGGCAAGGGGCAAGGCGATGGGCAAGGGCAAGGGCAAGGGCGAGGGGTGCATTCAGGGAGCAAAAAGGAAGCAATAAAATTGTGGGATATGCTTATGTACTCTATTGAGAATCCTATCCACCATTAATTACCAGCACAGCACCGATACCCCCAATGCTTTCCCCATTCAGCTTCATTTCATGGTTGGATCGTATATGTATATGTATATTCGATCAATATATTCCATTCCATTGCTAATTTGGATACGCTCTATATGTTTTTAGAATGCGGCAAATGCAAAGTAAGCACCAAAAGGTTAAATCTCAACAAGTTCTGCAAAAGAGACTACGGTAAGAGTTCGATAGCAGCTCGATAACTGCCACAAAGCGATAACATTTCGATATACGTACATATATATTTTAATGTATATATTCCTTATCCTCTGCAGCAATAATGGCCAAAGTAATTGGTCGCGATACGAGCAGCGAGGCGGCCAGCAGGGAGCAGGCGCATCGACGCGCAATGGATCCCGCGGACGTGGACTACGAAATGGATCAGGATCCGGGGGCGGGGGCGGGGGCGGTGGACGCGTACGAGTTTCAGGCGGCGGGGGCGGACTATCCCAACGACAGCGAGACGGTACGGTACGATCTGCAAATCCAGGCCGTATTCAAGCGCACCAAATCAGGCCCCGGGAGCAGCAGCGGGGGGATCGGCGCATATGGAATGCCGAATACAATGCTAAAACGAGGTCCTATGACCTGGATCATACCGATTAAGAATCTCGAGTGTCGCTGCCCCAAGATCAGAGTAAACAGGTAAGAGACAGAGACAGAGAGACAAAGAGAGAGGTAGTTTTCGGTTTGTTAACGTTTCTAATTTGCAGATCCTATTTGATCTTGGGACGGGATTCGGAGGCGCCACCAGGGTATCTGGGCATTGGGCCGCACTCGATAGTTATCGAATGGAAGGAGGACTGGTATCGGCGCATGAAGCGTCTGCAGAGGAGAGCGCGCACCTGTGCGTAATCCGTAATCCCTTCCAAGCCAAGCCAAGCCAAGCCAAGCCATCTATAAACCATCTAAAAGCCATCTCTGTTTTGTGTCCCTATCTTGTCCTTTCCCCATGTGTAGATTCTAGAGCTACGTTTAAGAAATGAAAGGAAAGAGCAGCACCAGCAGCCGCAGCAGAACGGTAATCAAATTGAACGAATATCAAATCTATTATTGTTTTTTTTTTTTGATGATCAAAACCAGATTTTGTAGCAGTTTAAGATCAAATTAGCAATATTTAATTTATTTAATTGTTATGAAACACAATCCGAGCAACACACACACGAAAGTATCTATATGTATATGTAATCTATGTAATCTATATACCTTATACGATTTGTATTATTTTTTGGTAAGATATAAGATACCTGTCAGCCCAGTCTAAGCATTTGTGAACAATTAATGGAGCAAAATAAGTTTCGACAAGTGAATGGAACACGTATAAGCAATAATTTATAATTTAAGAATTACTTCGATGCATGTCCAAGCTATGTCCCAGGAAGATCGCGAAATTTGTGAGAGCATCTGGATGGGATAATTGCTGACAGGAAGTCTCACAACGCAGGAAGGGAAGAGCCTAAGCGGTATCACAACGGGCCGAGACCGGCCTAAGTGTGACGGGCTCCGTGCGAGCCCGGCAGCCGCCTCAACCTAACCTAACCTAACCTACTTCGATGCATGCATGACTCACAACAACAGATTAAACTTAAATATGAATCGAAAATCACAATAAATAGATATTGTACAGTGCTAAAAACTCGTTTGGTTTCATTTTCATTTAAATTTCATTTTAAAATGCTAACGGTGGGCGGGAAATTACTACAGCTATATGGCAGCCTTGTCGAGTATTCATCTTTATTTCACGATGTGGCATCACTATCAAGTATCGTGCCATTGTTCCGATTACTAATCTTTATTTAAAAGAGTGGCAGCTCTGGCCTTGAAGTTTTAAGTGACGTCAAGTCAAGAATTTTCCACGAAAAGTTGTTTGGTCTATTCTGCAGGACATATATGTCTTCTCATGGCCGTTTTCGTGCTTGTGTTTGTTCATCAATTTAAATTCCATTCAAAATGGTATATTCAAGTATAAATGGTATCTTCGCATAGTATTTTCCAGTGTATTTTAGGACGTGCCAATGCACCAATGTAGAAACCGTGTAGAAATGCCACTTTGAGAAATGTCCCAGGCCAAATTAAACACTAATTCGTGATCAGCATCGAATTTCTGATCGTTTGCCATCAATATCTCAATTTTTTCAAATATGTCTGAAAACCAGCATGTCAAAAGTGGATAACGGAGGTTTTTCACACTGGCGCTTCCATGGGGCTTATATGAAAAAAACAGGCAACAATTTTTGAAACGTACACATTTCCCCTTCAGGTGTCGCTTTTTATAATTACATGCAAATGTAGTTAGTATGTAGGAAATGTGTAGTTATTGTGTAGTTACCATGTAGGGAAATTAATTTAGTGGACATTTTTGTTGGCCTGTTTTGCTTAAACCTTATTTTATAAACAATCCAATAAAGATGAGAACTTGAAAATAAACAGTCTTGTAGGACATTGATGTAATAATTGGATAAAATAATGAGTTCAGAGCTGAGGGTCTTAGCTAGCTGGTAATATTCAACCGAATATCAAAAACGATAGATATGATGCAACTTTAATACAAATAATTCGTCGTAATTCACAACCATTCGGCTCCTACATTCCCGCCGCCCCAGAGGCGTTGGGACGAATTTCGGGTGCATGAGAAGTAATTTGAATACCGCGATGATGAGATACTGATACAAGAAATCATTCCTCAGACTAGATCGAAAAGTTTTATATTTAATTGGCTTACTATGTCATGCGCCACTTCAGAAACAGGATACTCTAGCTAGCTCCCCTATGCAAAGTAGGGGATGCTCCAGGATATGCAAAACTCACAGCAATAATCAATTCTACACATTGTATATTTCATTTTATTGTTTATAATCTGCTTTTAGGACTAATTTATTGAGCTTTAAGAAACTAAACCTTTTGGTAAATATAACTGAGAATATGAATATTCCTTAGAAAATATTGAATGACTATTTCGATCATCGAGAGTAGGTCTAGAATAAATTTAATTAATTTTCCTATAAAAGTGATTCCTAAACTGCTTTTAAAATGTGCATAAAACTGTAACAAGACCTAATCTCAAATTAGATGACAGCACCAAAGGGGATACCAATCCAAAAAAATACAAATTAATTCATCGATTTAATTGTATTTATTGTAAGAAAGCTGTTGCGAATATGATATGCCCAGTACTCACATAAAATACAAATATTTATAAAAACAAAAGAACTCTTGCTGTAAGAAAGCTAATATTTCTATGAACTCTTATAGAAAAACATCTCAGATCGTTATAAAAATAACTGCACGCTGTCGAAAATTTTGTGAAATGTATTGGGCAAGCTATCAGAAATACCCCAGAAAGCTACGAATGTAGGGTATAAAAGCAAAACACAACGAAAACTAAACAAAGAGAACAATAGAAATGTTGTACATTCAGCATCATTTGCTCACGCTTGAGGCATTGCCGGCACCCTACAGAAAGTATTCTTATTTATTACAGAACTTTGTAGCGCAGATAATAATATATATAGTATACATTCTTGATCAGAATCGGACTTTTCTTCAGGCTTTCGGTTCAGGTATTAGAGCAGTCGAAAGTCGAGATGGGATTGTAGGACCTTCCCTGGTAAAGTGTGGAATATGTATGTTCTCATGTTGTCTGTTTCCCTTCAGAGAATCTGTTGTTCTTGAGATGGTATCTCAACGGGCAGGATCCCTAAAAAGAAGAGCGATGGCAATCGAAGAGTTAAAACTCTTAGGGTTGTTTTTCCTTCTGGTTAATTGTTTGTTTGCGTTATTTTTCTTCTTCTGCCTCGGCAGTGGCATAAACACGATTGTATTTCGAGGCAAGTTCGACGTTTCGACACAGCAAAGCCGCCGCGGCGGTCACAAAGTCCTATCAAATGTATCACTTTGTTTATGTCTCGGTGGCAGATAGAGAATTGGGTTACTAATTCCGTTAAATAAGCATAAACACTTTGTTTTCTGTGAATAAATATTTAAATATCGGGTTGTTCCATGGCTTGGGTGAGTGGTATCCAACGAACAGATCTAGAACCTCTGTTTCTTAAACACGCACTAAGAAAGGATTGGATGTGAATTCGTTTTGAGTGACAAGAGATGGCAATAAAGCAAGCTAAATAGAAATTCCGATAAGTCTGTAAATAAATAAAGAAATGCCCAGCCATTCTTTGCACTGAGAACAAACATCTGGAACCGCAAAGTAAATAAATAAAGACCCAAAGTTGGAAAGAAACCTAATATCCAGCTCGACCAGCTTATATAAACTATATACTAGCTATATACATATGTACATATGTATAAATGATTCAACTTGGCTGGCAAATGCAATTACTCGTTCATGGGTGCATTGGACAAGTTTAGTAGAAGGAGTATATATTTCTTTTAAAACTATGCATTGAAGGTTCATTGAAATGTGGAAATTGTTGTTGAAACAACTTTGAAATTTTAAAATATTCTACAAATTTCTATATGTATATGATGTTGACTCTTAAATTAATAACGGCAATTTCTTTTATGTGAGTTTCCCTTATGACTGTAGAAGTCACTTGAAGACTTCTACATTGTTGAAATGTTCTGTATAAATTGTTGAAAATTCTTTAAAAACTACAGGACTTTCTTGAAAGTGTGGAAATGTTTTTAGAAATGTTGAAAGCTGTTTAAAATTGCTAAAACTAGTATTATTATGGTGGAAATTTCTTTAAAAAATTTGGAAATTTCCCCCAAAAGTTGTTGCAAAAACATTTTAAATTTCTTTGAAAATTATTAAAATTTCCATAAAATTAATATAGTTTTTTTTTAATTGTTAAGTTTTCTTTGTTAATTGAATGGTATAGTGATTTTCTTCGAGATTGCATTCCGAAAAGACGCTCGAAAAGTGCATCTGTCCGATCGGGTGCTGCTTGCATACACATACACATACACATAATACTATGTACATATGTATACATATATATGTATATCACCCCCTATATACGTCACGATGTCACGTCACGTAACGCTACGCACGAGTCCCACTCTCCAACGCCGCCACCCTCCAAACCCGCTCTCACTGAAATCCACTCTCCCAATGCACTCTCTCTCTCTCTCTCTTGATAGCTCACCGGCCCTTTTTCTAGCCCTCGGTCCAAATGCCCACGCAAGCTCGCTCTCTCTGACGCTCTCCTCTCTCCGGCTAAGCTGGCAAAAGCTCTGTTTGGTCCCACGCAAAGGAGCGCTCTGCAGAGAAAAGCTGGGGAAAAGCTGCTGGCGACAACGCCGGCTGCAGCGGCAGCAGCAGCAGCAGAGGCAGCAGCAGCGACAGCCGACAGCCGACAGCGACAACGACAAAGCGAGGCAGAGCCGCTAGATGCCGATGCCCGGCGCCTTATAAATACGTAGCCCCCAACGCGGACGCCTTCATTCTCCTGCAGTGTTTAAAGTGACATGAAAGTGACGACATCGAGGCATTGTGACAAGTCATGTATCAGCATGTCCAACCAAACAACACAGATCATATTCATGCCAACGGTGAGTGCCTACCCCCCTCCCGCCATCCATCATCGAATCATCACTGGATCATTCATACATCAATCCATCCGTCCATCCATCCATCGGTTCCCAGACTCTCTCGAAAGGGGAATACGCGCGCCGCCTCACGTACAACCTATTAGTTTTTGATGTGGCTGTTTTTTTTCTGCGCTAATTAGCAGTGATTATTCGAAAATTTGCGTTTACGTTGCGTTTTGGCGTTGCGTTTCGGGGGTGCTAAGTGAAGGGGCAAACAGAAGCAGACCAGCGCCAGCAGCAATTTGCTAGTGGCAGCATGTGACGCCGCTTGACTGGCTTCGGCAATGGCCCTGCCGCCGCCTGTGCCGTGCGGTGCTGTGCCGCAGAAGTGTTTTCTAGTTTTTCAGACACCTTTTCCTCGCGTGCCTGGACGCGAGTTTTCTCCGTTCTTTTTTTTTTCTGTGGTGTGAAATTTGTGCTTCTCCGGGTGGAACTGCGCATGCGCCATGCTCCCTCCACAAATAACGGTAATTTAATCCCCGGCGAACACTGTTCCCCAGTGTGTGTGTGTGTGTGAGTGTGTGTGTGTGTGTGTCTGTGTGTCGGTTGCATTGGCAAGAAACAGCTGTTCTAATCAGCCAGGGCCCAGACCCTAAAGCCCCAAGTTCATTAAAAATTGCAGCCGGTTTCGCAGCAGCAGCATCCACCCAAAACAGAGACACACAGCCACCCTGAGAGACAGAGAGAGTTAGTCGGTAGTACAGTGGATACCCGATAAATCATCCAAATGGCTTCAGCCCCAGAGTCTGCATTGTGTTCTATGGAATGTCTCTTTGGGCGGAGGTTTCAGGTCTGCTGAAACGACCGCTTCCATAGAAAGGACAATCTGTCATAAGAGAACAGCTACTAGGAATAAAGAGGACTATAACTGGACAGCAATTATAGAAGAAAAGT